ATATGGCATAGAAACTGAACATTTAACAGTGTTTACTGAAAACCCTCTCCTGTCTGATCATTTCCTGATAACATTTACATTTACAATAATTGATTACACAGCAGTGGAGCGTAGACTTCATCACAGTAGATGTCTTTCTGAAAGCGCTGTAACTAAGTTTAAGAATATAATCCACCCACTGTTATCATCTTCAATGCCCTGTACCAACACAGAGTAGCTATCTGAACGCTACCCCAACAGAGGTCGATTATCTTGTTAATAATTCCACCTCCTCACTACGTACGACTCTGGATACTGTAGCGCCTGTGAAAACTAAGGTCTCAAATCAGAAGTACCTGACTCCGTGGTATAATTCTCAAACACGTAGCCTAAAGCAGATGACTCACAAGCTGGAGAGGAAATGCTGTGTCACAAATTTAGAGGATCATCATTTAGCCTGGAGAAAAAGTTTGCTGCTTTATAAGAAAGCCCTCCGCAAAGCCAGAACATCTTACTATTCATCACCGATTGAAGAAAATAAGAACAACCCCAGGTTTCTCTTCAGCACTGTAGCCAGGCTGACAAAAAGTCAGAGCTCTTTTGAGCCAACCATCCCTTTAACGTTAACTAGTAATGACTTCATGAACTTCTTCACAAATAAAATTTTTACATTAGAGAAAAAATTACCAATAATCATCCCACAGATGTAATATTATCTACAGCTAATTTTAGTACCATTGATATTAAGTTAGACTCTTTTTCTCTAATTGATCTTTCTGAGTTAACTTCAATAATCAACGTGTCTTTTAGACCCCATTCCTACAAAACTGCTCAAAGAAGTCCTGCCATTAATTAATGTTTAAATCTTAAATATGATCAACCTATCTCTAATAACCGGCTATGTACCACAGGCCTTCAAGCTGGCAGTAGTTAAACCTTCACTTAAAAAGCATCTCTAGACCCAACTGTCTTAGCTAATTATAGGCCAATCTCCAACTTTCCTTTCATATCAAAAATCCTTGAAAGAGTAGTTGTCAAACAGCTAACAGATCATCTGCAGAGGAAAGGCTTATTTGAAGAGTTTCAGTCAGGTTTCAGAGCTCATCACAGCACAGAAACAGCTTTAGTGAAGGTTACAAGTGATCTTCTTATGGCTTCTGACAGTGGACTCGTCTCTGTGCTTGTCCTGCTAGACCTCAGTGCAGCATTCGATACTGTTGACCATAATATCCTATTAGAGCGATTAGAACATGCTGTAGGTATTACAGGTACTGCACTGCAGTGGTTTGTATCATATCTGTCTAACAGACTCCAGTTTGTACATGTAAATGGAGAGTCCTCTTCACACACTAAGGTCAGTTATGGAGTTCCACAGGGTTCAGTGCTAGGACCAATTCTGTTTACATTATACATGCTTCCCTTAGGCAGCATCATTAGAAGACATAGCATACATTTTCACTGCTATGCAGATGACACCCAGCTCTATCTATCCATGAAGCCAGGTAACACACACCATTTGGTTAAACTGCAGGAATGTCTTAAAGACATAAAGACCTGGATGGCTGCTAACTTTCCGCTTCTTAATTCAGATAAAACTGAGGTTATTGTACTCGGCCCTGAAAATCTTAGAAACATAGTATCTAACCAGATTCTTACTCTGGATGGCATTACCTTGGCCTCAAGTAACGCTGTGAGGAACCTTGGAGTTATTTTTGACCAAGACATGTCCTTCAACGCACATATTAAACAAATATGTAAGACTGCGTTCTTCCATTTGCGCAACATCTATAAGATTAGAAATATCCTTTCTCAGAGTGACGCTGAAAAACTAGTTCATGCATTTATTACTTCCAGGCTGGACTACTGTAATTCATTATTATCAGGATGTCCAAAAAACTCTCTGAAAAGTCTACAGCTAATCCAAAATGCTGCAGCAAGAGTCCTGACAGGGACTAGAAAGAGAGAGCATATTTCTCCTGTTAAATCCAGAATTGAATTCAAAATCCTGCTCCTCACATACAAGGTCCGAAATAATCAGGCTCCATCATATCTTAATGACCTTGTAGTACCATATCACCCTATTAGAGCACTTCACTCTCACACTGCAGGCCTACTTGTTGTTCCTAGAGTATTTAAAAATAGAATGGGAGGGAGAGCCTTCAGTTTTCAGGCGCCAGCTTCCAGTTTGGATTCAGGAGACAGACACCGGGGCTGGGCCATATCATACCGTTTACGGTAATACCGGTATAATGTCGGGCAATGATAAGAAATTGAAATATCGTGATAGAATATGGGTAAAACGCGCATGCGCAGTACCTTTGTTTTCATACGCACATGGAGGAAAAAGCGTGCCGGCGACGGAGAATGAGAAGAACGAAAGCGGATGTTGAATGAAACGGATGAACCAGAATTGGTTTGTAAAAATGTTGCAACTTCAGTGGTGTGGAACTGGTTTAGCTTTCGTCTGTCAGATACACAAAAGCACTATTTCTGGTAGCACATGCTAGCGGGCCGTCGTTATTACCGTGTTTTTTGGAAAATACGGCACACTTAAAATCAATCCTTTGATTTTTCTGAAAGTCGACAGTGCCCCTTATAATCCCGTGTGCCTTATGTTTGGATTCTGGTTGTGTTTACTGACCTCGAAACGATTTTATGTGGTACACGGCGCTCAAAAATCTGGCAAATGTTTTAGTACGACTTTGCTAAGCTACGAAGCCGCACTGCTTGATGGATTGTCGGAGCGTTGTGGCTATTGTAGGCAGGAGCCTCGCGGAGTGATACGTAATGTGCTTCAACATAATATTACTGTATTGTGTGCATAACCTCTTTTTAAGTTTTGTGGATATTATACATGGTTATGCTGAGGATATGTCAGCCAATTTCCACTGGAAATGCCTTTTGGTTAAACTGTCAGCAAGGAATTTGCATTTGCACTGTTAATTTTTTATATAACTTTAATGCACATAAAAAACAGCTGCTTGTTTAAGTGAAAATACATTGATTTTATTTTTTGCACTAATAAAGTTGAGGAGTTGTGAAGTATTTTGTCTAGTGTCAATTATATCGTCAGTTATATCGTTATCGCAAATTTTCAAATGTTTATCGTGATAAATATTTTTGGTCATATCGCCCTGCTCTAACAGACACTATCTCTACTTTTAAGATTAGGCTTAAAACTTTCCTTTTTGTTAAAGCATATAGTTAGGGCTGGACCAGGTGACCCTGAATCCTTCCTTAGGTATGCTGCAATAGGTGTAGGCTGCCGCTGCAGATGGCCGCCTCTCCCTGAGCCTGGTTCTGCCGGAGGTTTCTTACTGTTAAAAGGGAGTTTTTCCTTTCCACTGTCGCCAAAGTGCTTGCTCATAGGGGTTTATGGGTTTTTCTCTGTATCTATTATTATAGGATATACTGTACAATATATAAACGCCTTGAGGCGACTGTTGTTGTGATTTGGCACTATATAAATAAAATTGAATTGAATTGAATTGAATGGCTAGGAGACAGGTGAGGAGCATTCAGCTCCAAGAGCCTGGTTCCGACCAGTCTCCCTTGCTAGCAAGTAAAAGATGTTCGTCTTGCTTGTCGTTAACAAGAATAAATAAAACCAGCGGGGCCTGTGGAAGCGCAGACCCAGCACTCAAGTATAAAAATAAAAATTAGGTCTTTGGAGGACATTTGTACCAGCTCTCTGCCAGGCAAACTTTATTATGTGTGCCAACTTTATTATGTGTTTGCCTACATGTCAATTATTCTCTCACACGTCACTACAAACCCCAACTAAGGAAACTCACTCCCTCTTCACTATTTACTTTACAGGTATTAAAATATTTCAGCTTCCCTGCAAACATATGGTGCAAAAAAAACCCTCACCAACAAAGAAGAATGAGCATCACACTACGTATAGGCACATAGGAAAAGATGTATGTGGATTCTAAATATCAAATTACGTTGGACCTTTGACATCTTCTTCAAGGTCAGATAAAGTCAATTTACCAAAAATATCTTTTATCTTGAACACTATACTTAAAATTCTCCTGTCTTTGTTTGTGTTGGTAACATTTAGGACATTATACTGGTTTATCCATCCATCCATCCATCCATCCATTCTCTTCCGCTTATCCTTATCAGGGCCACAGGGGGGCTGGAGCCTATCCTAATACAATGCTGTTTCTTTAATAGTGCCCAGAGAGTGAGCTTCCTTGGCAGAGGTTTTCACTCTAGGAGTGTTTCTTGTTTATAAATACAAGCTGATTAAAAAAAAAAAAAAAGCAGAAAATAAAAGAAATAATAAATAAGAGTGATTTAAATTGGCTTTGCCTTAAAAAAAGAGTATGTAAGGTCTAAAGTGAGATTTGACAGCCAATCTTAGTGTGAAACCTAAGATTGGTTGTAGTTGGGAATAGAATTCACTGCTCTTTATTGATTTGCACAACTAAATTCAACGAGATTGAAGCACACATTAGTGAGTGAGTAAATCCAAACACGATCATCCACCTAAATTCAAATTGATCTCTGGTATGGTTGATGTGACTGAATTATGACAGGAAGCAGTAAAGCTGCTCTGCACCAGTTCATCATCAATGGCACTACTCTAAACTTCACCGCAATACTGACTAGACTAATCAATCTAACTTGCCACAAACCACCAGTACTTCCTAGCAACCTTTGAATAACACAGAGTTGGCCATGTCAGCCCTGCAGCGATGATACTTCAAACTGTGAAGTGGAATTAGTTTGTTTTCCAAGACATTTAACACCATGAAAAAACAAAACAAAACATGTAACAAGTTGTTTATAACGCAGATATCTGATCTAATATTATATTGAATATGTAGGTAACTTTTGGAATTTTTGCAGGTAGCATAAGAACAGGGTTCAGACACAATGAGTTAAGATCATGACCTTCCAACACATGTACAGAAAAGAACAACAGCAATGAAGCTGAGGGAAAAAATGGGTACAAGAAAAGGTAACTTTTTTATGTGCACATACTAATCTGTCTCATTTATTTCTCACAGTTTGGAATTTCACCGACCACTTCCTCAAAGAAGTGCCTCAAAGCCCTCTGAACTTTGTAAAGGCTGCAAGTAAGAGCGAGCACTGTCATAACTTTTTTCTTAATAAATTACAGTATTTTTGCCAAGATTGAGTCATGTCAGACCTGCAGGCATGATACTTCTAACTGTGTGTATGAATGCTTGTGCATTACAGGGAAGCCATCGATAAAGTAAAAAAGCTCTACAATCAAACATGGAAAAAGCAGGAGGAGAATTACCACAGATTCAGGTAAGATCATACACTTCAAGCCTTCTAACATCCTGATATTAGACAGTGAATTACAGGTCATTTTACAGAGAAAAGCAATTGTAATGTAAACAATAGTTTAACAGATTACTTCCTCCTAGGACTAATTAAGTAAAGCAGCGGTCCCCAACCTTTTTTGCGCCACGGCCGGTTTATGCCCAACAATATTTCCACGGACCGTCCTTTAAGGTGTCGCGGATAAATACAACAAAATAAAACTAGTACCGGTACCGAAAAAAATTCATAACACAAAACCGAGTAAACGATAAAAACGATAACAAAATAACGCTGAAAACCGATAAAAACCCTGAAAACCATACATTTCACACCTGAGCCTCAACTCTCGCGGCCCGGTACCAAACGACTCACGGACTGGTACCGGTCCGAGGCCCGGGGGTTGGGGACCGCTGAAGTAAAGTACTGAATTACTTTTAATAAAAGTGTTTTGTGTAATACATTATTTTTTCGAATAATGACTTAAACACCGATTGTTAAATTGAATTGTTAAATGTTGTCATTTTTATGCTTACCATCTCTACATTGTTTCAAGCAGTAGGACCAAAGACATTCTTTTGTCTCTGACCACCTCTCCAGCTACTCTGGTGCTGGGGGAGGTTTTATTGTAGATACATCCTATCTGAAAGATCTGGTTCTTGTGTTGTAAGCTTCCTGCTTTTTATGATCCTTTTGGTGAGCAGGAAGTCACACAAACGCACCCCCACGACACACACACACACACACATTCTTGCACACATGCTTACACGTGCACACACACACACACATAGTGTCTTGTCTTAGAACCATTGGTGGGTTTTACAGTGGAAGGTGCTTGTGTTGTGTTGTATTGTGTAAACTATTGTATATTGTAACAGTTTGTCAATAAAAAGGCTACGAGGAGAGCTGCTCTTTGAAGGATTTGGGCTAGAGACAGGTGATGAGCATTATGCTCCACCGCCTGGTTCTGACCAAAGCTTCCCTCGTTAGCGAGTTAAAGACCGGTTGAAGATGTTCTGTCTTGTTTTCGTTCTCATGAGGAATAAGTCTCTAAACTTGCGGGGCCTGTGGAAACACAGACCCAACACCGATTGCAACAAGGAGCTTAAATACCTCCAACATGCACAAATATTTGACCCACAGCATCTAATTAATTTCCATGAATGTAATGTGTTTGATATGCTGCTTAGAGATGGCAGTAACTCCCAAAATGGAGCCAATGAGAATCAGTAAGGAGATCAATAAGGAATCGAATTGATAAGTGATATTGATGATAGAATCAGAATTGCTACATTCTTACCAATTCCCAACCCTAGTATTTACATTCATGAAAGCATCTCTTTATTGATTGTACACTTGAGAGTGTTCCTTAATTGGTAAGATGCTGTAAAATTCTTCTCATTGACTATGTAAATAATTCTGTTATCCTGCACTTCTGTGGTCTTTCAGGTCTTTTTGCTGCTGAGCTGATTCACTGCAGTCTTTCTTTTAAAGAAAGAATCAGTCTGTTAATTTTTTGCTCTCTTTTTTCCAACCTAATAATGGCTTCCTTCATTTGCATTGACATTTCTTATATTTAGAATCAGAGGAAAAAGTTACAAAATATAAAATCGAGACTTTAAATTAACTTCAGATATTACATCTGCATAATTTTTTATGAATTAAGAAGGGGTTCAGCAGGACATGAAACTGGTTATCATTCAACTGTCAAATTACATTTGAACCACTCAGAATAGGGAACTTTGTATAAAAATGTCTTTAATTGCTGAAGAGTTAAGCCAAATATTGCCAAAGAAAAAACTAAACATAAAAAACACTAACTGTAAACATAATATACAACAATAGACAAATTAATATGAAATACAATCTAAAGACAAAAGACAGGTTGTCTGTCCTACATGTATGCTGTATCTGTAGCTGCCTGAAGTTAAATGGCTTTCATTATGGTTAAATAATCATTTCCATTCAAACCACTGAAGCCTATTCAAATACTACATAAATGAAAACATTTATTTGAATTGTTTTCCCTCTCTGGTAAGCCTGATTTGCTGTAGCTGAAATTCATCATTGGAAATTAAAATGAAATTAACTAATATAAAACTGTATTGCTTTCAGTGTTTTAAATAAAATAAAATCAGTGTTTTAAATAACACACTGAATTCATGTGGGATTTGTTTGCTTTTTATACATACGTAGCAGAAATGACACTTACAATACAGGTGTACTGTATTTTAAACCACAAATCTTTCACCTTAACACTAAAGCTAACTTTAAACATTTATTTATTTATTTATTCATTTATTATTTTTCAAGATTACAGCTGAACATCAATTGCAATGGATCCAACAATGGCATTATCACTCAGGAAAACACTCCAGTGGGATCTAAGATTGTCTGTGATAAGGACAGGACTGTCATTCCCGTGACCCCAGTGCTTTTCAAGGCCTTTATCAAAGTATGTATTTCTTAAAGATGGGAACATGCCTTGAAATGTATTCTTTATGAATGCGCTAGAATGAACTCAGACAAAATCTGCTGCATGTTTCATGTCCTAATTATTCTTCAAATGTTCTAACATAGTATTACTAAGTTCTTATATCACATGTTTAGTCATGTGCTAAATCTGGGGACCTGCACCCTTAACGGATTGAATCAAATGAAATTCTTTAGCATATTCCTACATTAGCTGCCCAGAGTACTTTTGCAGCAGTTCATCTGTCTTAATAAGTTCTGTCAGAGTTCTGTCTCTTAATTATTTATTGGTTTAAAAAGGACAAAAAACCTTCTAACTTGACTATGGTTCATATAAGTGTGGTTTGTATTGTTAACATATTGAAAGTAACACATAAAGATTTAAAATGACATATCAAATTCAAAGTCAAAGTGATAATTATGCTCTATCCAGCTGTTTCTTACTGCCAATGTCTATACTTACAATTGTTATGTTCAGATTTTTCAGAAGGAATTCAGGAGAAATATTTGTAGTTTAAAAAATGTAATTTGTTTGAGCAGTTGAAATTACAAGTTACAGCGCTGGACTTTTTTGTGAACCAGCGAACTGTTTCACAGAAAAGATGACCCTGGATCAGGGCTGTACAGGTTTATACTGTGACAATAACAAAGATTATCTTCTCCCAACACAAACGTGGCAGTTTGCTCCGAATCCTCCCCGTTCAGTCCGACCTCACCTCGTATTTGCTTGTTCTGGAATGAGAAACAGAAAAGAAAAACAACCCCTGCGCAGCCTTGGCTATCTGCTTATTATTCTAAGGCCCAGTTCAAGAGCCTTGGGGGTCTCGTTCGCATTTCCTGAGCCAGTTTATGAGCAAAATTGCATTGCGTATAAATAAAATAAAAAAACAGCTTTATCTAATAATTTAAATAAAAAAAATCAAAAGTTTTCAACCCTAACACAATACATAGGCATGTAATGAATGCTATTCTGAATTTCACATTACTTTGGACCTTTTTCTTTGTTGTTCTCATCCTACAGATTTGACATAATTCCTTAAATACAATGAGCACTTGTCTCTCACACATAATACATTAGAAACAGTATAAATCTTGCTCTTTTTGTAATGTGTAATCTGTTGATGTCAATTCCAGGAAAATCCTTTCTCAAAAAAGAGATGGGACACTTGTTCAGTTGTTGGGAGTGGTGGGATTCTGACAAACAGCGGCTGTGGAAAAATAATTGATTCAGCTGATTTTGTTTTTAGGTGAGAAATATGTCATGTGTATAGCACCAAAATCATGACGACAACTCATCTCTCTGTAAGAAATATTTTGTTGTGTTTTCAGGTGCAACCTACCTCCTCTGGAAAATGAATTTAAGAATGATGTTGGCATAAAGACTAACCTTGTGACAGCAAACCCAACCATCTTCATAAATAAGTGAGCAAACATTTATTCTAACATGGAACTGAATTGGGTTTTTTTTTTTGTCTTGTTGCTTTAAGCGTTGTTGTTTAATTTGCAGGTATGGGTCACTGACGGGACGTCGCCGGCAGTTTGCAGACAGCCTCCACCAGTATGGCAACTCCCTGCTCCTCTTTCCTTGCTTCTCCTTTGGTTTTAGTAGGGGTGTGTGTCAGCGGGCTGTGTATGCCATTGAGGACATGAAAATCCCTATTCAACCAATCTTCTTAAACCCTCTGTACCTTGAAAGACTGGTCAAATTCTGGAAATCCCAGGGGTTAAAGGAATATCGACCTAGCACTGGATTATATATAACTAGTCTGGCCCTGGAATTATGTGAAACAGTGCATCTGTATGGATTCTGGCCCTTTAGTAATCACCCAGATAGACTCTTTCCCCTAACTAACCACTACTATGATAATGTACCATATAATGCAAGAGTCCATTCAATGCCAAATGAGTTTTACCACTGGGTACAGCTGCACAATAAGGGTGTGCTCAAGCTTCACCTTGGAGACTGCAAATCAGGTCAGGTCTAGTTTAAATGATGGAATAAAAAAAATGCTTAAGTGTCCAACTGCGAAGCCAAGACATTTTCACTGAAATCAATATGTATTAGTCAGAAGTAGGCTACATTTTACTTTAAAAGTCTTACAATATATCTCCAAATCTCTTTAATCCTGGAACTGGTGACTCGCGGGAATTTCTCTGAGCTTCACAGCTTCTAGTGTATATCAAGAAATTTAATATCTCACATTGAACATTAAGAAAACAATATCTGTTTGCTTTTCATTTTTAAAAAACTTTTTCTAGAATTAGATCTAAATGTGAGTGTCAGTTATTTTAGTCGTGTTTTTTTTTAGAACAAGCTACCTGACTTGAGATCAATTACTGTCCGTACATTCAACACCAGATTCTAAATCTTTCCATTCACACAGGTCTACAGTTAATAGGTTTTGTTATTCTGTTTTATTTTATTTTGTTCTGTTGTTTTCCCTGCCATTGTAAATTTGCCTATTTCTTTACATTGGTGATCACATTGTGTTTCCATGTAATGAAATGTACTATGCAAATTAAATTGTCATTGTCATTAAAGGGGCTATAAACGCTGCATTCATACATGCTTTATCTATACTAATAAAAAATTGCAGGAATGCGAATACCACTACCAAATTTATCATCTGCTTTTAGTCACTTCACTGTTACTACAGCTGTACCAAAGATGTTCCCCTTCAGCACTGACTGTTGACAGAGCACTTTCAAATAAAAACAGTAAATTTTGTATTAATTTTATATTTACAGCAGGTTTACAGTTTTAAGACTTTTCAAGTGCTCAGAAAATATATCACCAGTGTCAAAAATGCCATGTCAAGCTAGGTTTTACTAGATGGAACTTTAAAACAAACAGATGTTGCTGTGAAACATTGTTTATTTAGAAAATTCCATCATATTGCACATAAATCCAGTTTAGTAGCTGTCTAAAGGAGTTATTTATATGATGAAAACCTGATTTATAGTAATAAATAGCTTAATTAAAGTAATACCTTTACTTAAATAATGAATAAATTTGTATTCATCTACGTAAATAAGTCATCAGTAAAAACAAAACCCAAAACTTTATATGCTAATTTTATAATTCTGCTACATCTCAAGAAGTCTGTTAATAATAGATTTTATTTTTCATTTTATTTTACACTAAAACAAAATGACTCTCAATGGCAGATATCAGATTCATAAACAATACATTTACTGTATCGAAAACATATGAAGCACTTTTTTATCTGAACAAAATATTAACTGTTAATGTTCTTTGATTAAACTGATACTATTGCAATGAGCTGAAAAATCATAAGCAGAAAAGCAATCAACTACAGAAGTTTGGAAGAATATCTGTGTAAGAGTGCAACTGACCTTAATCCAAAGACATCAAACAAAATGCTATGTTAAGTTTGTTCAAGATGTTTAAGTTAAGTTTTAAAAAAATAATAATAATAATAAGTAGGCATGTCTTGATGCATGCTCAATCATCCAGGTAAGGAAATGCAAGTGGCAGATGGACACACTGAAAAAAAGGGATTGGCCATCTCTTGAATTTATGTAAGCATCTTGCGTGTTCTTGTTGTGTTCTGTTCTTGCATAAGGGAAAAGAAGAACAGCATAGATGCATTAAATTAATGGACTAATATGTTAACATTCAGTTCATTAAATTTATTTAGCACCTGTTCACAATGCCAGTGATCCCAAGGAGCTTTATATTTTAAGGCACAGACTCTGCACAGAGACATATCTAATGATGAGACATCATCTTATTAGGACATTTTGGAAAGGAGGAAATGTACCACTGGATAAGGGGAATTGCAGGATGAAGAACTGTGAATAGGATGAGATGATAACAGAAATGAGCAGCAGCAAGAAAAGAATCATAAAGCAAAAGATAAAGTATAAATAAGGGATGCTACAGGGCACAGTGATTTTAGGTTAAAACTTTTAAGCAAACTAGAAATAGAAGTATGTTTACATTATGCTAGTAAATTATAAAATACAAAATTAACACATCCCACAAAAGTCAGCTTTATTTCCTACATAAATTTACATGCACAATGTACACAGATGTTACAGATCATTTGAGCTGTCTTTGGATGTCATTGATACAGCAAACAACTCTATACAAAACTTGTTGTGTTTGACTGAACATTTTGTGTTTCACAAAAAATAAATTTTCTGGAAGATACAACTTTTGAACTAATTAAGAAAATAAAATAACAGAGAAAAACTGTAACATCAAAACAAACCACCACAATAAAATCACAGCTTATTTCTCCATTAAACCTCTAGAAATTTAAATTTACTATAAAAAGCAAAGTCAACCACTAAAATCCAACAAACAAACAAATAAAAAAAAGGATAATAATATAATCTTGTTATTATGCCTTTTTCCAGGGGTGGAATATATAATTGGCTATTTGGTTTCAACATGAAGATATTGTGCCACAAGTAAAAGCTGTAACGCTGTCACAAACAGGTATTAACAGCGTTTATCTTAAAGCTAAATAACACATCAGACGTAAATAATTATACAGATATACCTGGATTACATATTACTCTTTTGTCAATATTTGATATATAAGCTGAAAAAGCATAAATGAAAACTGAAAATCTGCAACCAATAGTAACCAAACAATATGAAGTATTCAAATGCAAGAAAATACATTTGATTACCTCACACCATTTACATTTTCTGCTAATGTTAGAAGTTTACATTTTGTCTGGAAAGCATTTATACTGACACTTCAGTTTAAAACAGATTAATTTCACTGTCAGTGCAGTTCCATGTTTCAATTTTGCAATACATGCAGTCAGGGCTGGACTGGGACAAAAAATCGGCCCGGGCATTTTGACTAGAGACCGGCCCACCAGGTATTATAGGAAAAACCATAAAGCCTTTGAATGAAAACAAACGCTGTTGTCACAGTGATGTACATTGTCTTGTTGATATATATGTATCAGTCTAATAAACTTAAACCTACACCATCCTCCCTATTCTGGTATTCTAAACAGTACCCGAAAGTAGACTGCTTGGTCGAGTTAACCTCCTGAACTATCTACAACACATGGTGAAAACCTGAAATTAAGACAGAGAAGACTAGAGGTGAGACATGATCATTACTGAATACTGATGACAGATTTAGATATATTTTCATAAACCATTCATTTGCCACATCAACAAACAGCATGGCAGGGCAAAATATTTTTTCTAACATGGCAACCTTTAAAAAGTGAAAGGAGACAGAAAGACAGGTGAGAAAGAATAAAACTTAATTGACTTTTTGATGGCATTTTACACACAGTACTGGTACAGTATCTAGAAAATGTGGGAAAATACTGGCATCTTATACAATACAGTACACTACTTCTGAAGAAATTATGATGGGACCATAAAATAAATTACTATGTACAATAATGGATTTCTATATATTTTACATCAGATGAAAACGTTTGTTGTAAGATTCAGATAATTATTTGTTAAAAGCGAGACATTTTAAATGAGAATAAGAAAATATTTCTTTGTGCCCCCTCTCCCTGTTAATGCCCTACCTGGGCCCCTGGCAAAACTTTGCTAGATCCGCCCCTGCACAGTTACCAGCTGTCAGCTACTTAGAAAAGGATCCTGGTGTTATTTGTCAGAAACCGTTCATAACTTCCCTTCAACTCATTTATGTCACCTAAAAGGTAAACCTGTTTCTCCATCACCTGTTCAGCTCTGATGATTCAGTAAGGACATCTCCTGGTTTCATCTTCATGTTTCCCTCTCACCAGATAACCAAACCGACATCATGACCAGCTGCTTTTGCAGCTGTGGCTCCAGCAAACATCAGCTGATACTAGAAAGTAATATTACATAAATTCTAACAACAGCTGATCAAGCTTAAACGTGCTGCTGTTGTTTAGCGCGACATCCGCTGGTTTCCCCTTTCTGGCACAGAGTGAGCGATAAACAAACAAGAGAGAAAACCCAATCAGCTGATCATTGATCAGTTTCATGATTGAAGTAGCAACAGGAGAGAGAGGGGAGAGAATGAGAGAAGAAGAGGCAGCTGTGCAGCAAAGACACAGAAAAACTCCAGCTTTGTGTCTTTTTCATTGTAGCTGAAGTTCGAGACAAACTGCTCCTTTTCAGCTCAATACGAAACGCGTGATATTTTCTCTGAATACCAGACGATTCCGTTTTTTTACAGGAGGGTTGGAAACTCTAATAACTAACCTTACAAATAAAATAAGATAAAACAAGTTCAACATCAATAATATCAAAGCACCTGCCCAGCAGTATATAAACGCCGTCATGCTAGCTAGTACGCAGTACGAGTTATTGCAACTGACTGTAAAAAGTCAGCATAACGAAAATAAACTCCACCTAAACTTGGTTTATATCTGACCCAGATAGACTGCAAGTCATAACTTCTTACCTGAAGTTCAGTTCACCGCCTCTGCGGGTCTCTGCTCCTCCTGCCTTTCCGTCATCCACCTGCCAGCGTGTTGCATCTGCTGGCCTCCACCACTTGCTAATGTTACGGAATCTGTGGAAGCTCCGCAATAGCCACCACCAAACGAGTTATTTTTACACATCTCCCAGCATCTGGCCAATCCACCAGCTTTCAGTGTTTATACCGTTACGGAAAAAACAAAACAAAAAAAACATCGGCCCATAAAAACAAAAAAATCACCATCGGCCCACCAGGCAAATGCCCGGTATGCCCGATGGCCAGTCCAGCTATGCATGCGGTGCTATGAAAAGGTATTTGCCCTCTTGCTGATTTTGTTTTTTGCATATTTGTCAGCCTTACTTCAGATCATTGAACACATTTTATTATTATACAAAGATGCTAATAGAATAAATTAACAAAAGTTAAATACAAATATTTTATTAAAGGGGAAAAAATATCCAAACCTACCTGGTCCCAAGTAAAAAAGGAATTGCCCCAGCTTTTTAAATCATGAATTAACTTTGATTAACCACAAATTTACTAACCAGACCAAGGCCCGATTACTGCCTACTGATTCAAGAAAACTACTGCTGACCAAAAAAAAAGCCTCATCACATATTTGCCAAAAACATGTTGATGAGCCCCAAGAGTTGTTTTGAAAATATTTTTTGGACTGATGAGAGAAAATCAGAAATATTTGGAAGGTTTGCGTCCCATCACATCTGACAAGCTACTAACACAGCACTTCAATAAAATTAACAGGCAAACATAGTTGTGGTAACGTGATTGTCAGAGCCAATAAGTGATATAGCTATGAATGCTCTGGAGCTCAAGCACACTTTGGTTATGCAGAATTTGGACAAAGATCCAAAACACACCCCAACTCCACATCTGAATGTCCAAAAAATTTTAGAGATTACAAGATTTTAGAGTTTCCTACTTAATTTCTAAACTACAATGTTGGCATAACTTAAAACAGGCCATTTATGCTGAAAACCCTTCAACGTGACCAAATTAAACCAATAGTAAAAAAAAAAAAAAGAGGCAAAGAGTTCATCTGCATTAATGCTCTTGACTCAATCCCAGCTGTTGTCGATGCTTGATTTTAATCTATGGAAATTTACCCACAGAGATGCACATTAAAATAACATGAGTGATAATAATCATAGCATCTTTGCTTTGGATGGTTTAGTTTGCATCATTAATGAGATATTACTGCTCGATCGTCTTTTGCTTTTGATAAAACCACAAAAGGAGTTGCAGAAAAATAAAACCAGCTACCATAATGAGTAAAACTGAGCATCACATATTGTCTCAGTCTTTGGAAAGTACACATAGTTGTTTTTTAAATCTGGTAATCAGAAATCTTGATCATGTCAGTGTTGCTTTTAGTTCTTTGCTTTTGACTCAGTTCTTTCATACAGCCTGATTATTTTCCTGTTATGAAGGTCTTTCCATGTATTCTTCTCCAAAATGTAGTCATGGTTGAGGTAGAAAATGACTTTGCTCATGTTTTTCTCAACATAGTAGTTAGTCGTCAGTCATAAATCCATATGCATCCACCTGAGGAAGACAGAAAGGGGGGGAAAAGAGTAGGACAAATATATTATAATTATATGTGTGTGTGTGTGTGTGTGTGTGTGTGTGTGTGTGTGTGTGTGTGTGTGTGTCTTTTTATTAAAATAAGAGGAAGGCAGGTTGAGGACAAAGTTAGAGAGGCAAAGGCTATGATGGTTGGGATCCATCAGATTCATCCCAGTTATTCTTGGATTTAAAACACCAAGAACAGTGAAAACGCTTATGTTTCATGAAGGGAAGTATGTGGTGGGTGGCACTGTATTAATCCCTATGGTTCGGACCTTTTGTTTAACTTGCAGAGCAAAAATGTGCTTTTTCATGAAAGGTGTCTTTGACTCTTCATCTTATTTCTGATTCATCTGGGCTGTGTGAGAAAGCTCCTGAAAGTTGACTTGCTCATTCTAGAGTTAATTGCCAGGTCAATGCTTCTAAAGCTGTGAATACCAACAATAAGCACACAAATTTCAAGTAGTTTTAACTCACTATGTCACAGGTGTGCAGAGCCAAGAAGACAGTGAATGCCCCGTTGGTTGGTCTGACCAAAAACCAGGATGTTTTATTCAGATTAGGTGACAGTAAGAACCTGTGAGTGAAGAAGAAGCATCAATTAAGCATACACATGGGGAAAATGAGCTACACTTCTATGACAGCAGAATAGGCAACCTCCAAATCCCAAACACACTGTAAAAGAACACATGCATAGAAAATTACTCAGTGTAAATTACTTGATGTTCTTCAAGAAGACTGGACTTCAGATCATGCTGACTTCTGTTCATGCTGACATTCATGTCTGAGTTACAATCTTATAACAGTTATTCCAGTGATGTTTTGCTTGTTTCTCATCCTTATTGTTCATTTCTAATAGGAATCCCAACTGTATGGTTGAATTAGCTAACAAGGTTGCATTCCTGGGGTAGAGCTGTAAACAACAAACGGGTGTGGCAGCGTGTGTGGAGTTTCAGAGCGAGTGTGGCTGAAGAGGAGTGCGTGTGTGCGGAGGAGCTGTGGCGGTGACTGTGTGGAAGAGGAAGCATGTGTGTGGATACCCCCCCCCCCCTTCTCTCCCTGGACCCCCTCCCAACTCACTGCACATATATATAGCACTGAGGTGATCCCTGTTGTAAATAAATAATCTCCTTTTGTTCTCAAAGAAAGAACTGTCTGCGCGTGAGTCCATCCAGTAGCCATGAAAGCTTTCTTCTAACTATTCATAGCCTTTTTAACAAAAATACTATGTACAGGGTGTTAATTGCAGGCTGACCTGTTCCGCACATATCGGAGGAAGTCCTGGTGCAGAACGTAGAAACGACTTTCATTGTATTGCCCTGAATAGTAGGTCCTTGGTCTGGTGAGGTTAGAAGACGAAATATGGCACACTTGTTAGTCACATATATGCCACAGAAGATATTTTGATTTGTAAAAGACATATTAGAAAGATACATTTAAATTACATGTCACAAACATTTTATATGTATGCAGGTAAAGCTTCCATGTACACTCAAAATTTGCATTTGTGAAACAAATGGCAACTGGTTGAATTTAATTTGGTTAAATTCATGTTTTTTTTCTTTCTTTTTTTTCTATATTATATTATGTTACAGTGTTGACCTAAGATAACAGACTTTGAATAAATTAATAGATTAAATATATATATTTGTATTGATTAATATTTTATTTTGTCCAATTGTTGTATAAATACTGTAAAGGATAATGTATGATAGTACAAATAATCTTAATAACTTTCTCCTCAGTGGCATCATTATGTGTCCCATAAAATAGAAATAGAAAAATAGAAGGTTATAGTGTTTATTTATTTACTGAAAAATAAACAAACATATGTGTTTGGGAGTACAAAACATTTACATCATGATTCAAAAAACAAAACAAGACGTAAACAAATACAGTTGGAGTCTTAATTCCTTAATGGGATAATTGCAACTTTTTGAAAGTGGTGAAAACATTTCTTGATTAATTTTCTTTCTTTTTTTTGCATTTTATACTCACAGTTTATTGCGGTATGGGCCAGCAGAGACCTTTTCTCCTCTCAGAAGAGCCTTTAGCCACTGGAAATCCCTCATCCCCTCTGGAATCAACACATATTTTATACCCTGTCAAAAGGAAAAGGGGAGCCCTTATGTTTATTCTGTGCAGGGAAAATAAGTACGATACAACACTGTTGTCTTTGAAGTTTAAGTACCTCGTCATGAGGGGCAGATTTGTACCCGTACTTCTTGAGCAAGTAAAGTGATGTCGTGATGGAGTGGGCTGTGTGAACGTAAACCGATGTTTTGTTTCCTACATCTTCCTCATAACCCTTAGTGATGGCACCATTCATCCTGCCAGACAAGACAAGAATACATTTTATCAGTTGTTGCTAGCTAAAAGTGCAATACCAATGTCTAGGTGTTGACTACAAATATCTGCCATATATAAACTGCTTGTGGGACAGTGAGCAATTTCATGTGAAGTATCATCATAAAGCAACTCTAATTCGAAACATGCTGGAACATTGTGTAAAGTGTATCAGACTGCAGTTATTTGCAAATCGGATAAACACACATATTATACACAATGGAACACAGAAAAAAATGTACCATTTTAAGAAGAATATTACACTTTGATGGCACCAACACCTCTTAAAAAGATTTGTCCATATTTACAACTGTGCATCAACTGTCTGTATTCTAATAAACCTCCATAACTATTTGGGAACTGTGGTGTTCTGTGTCATCTCTATCCTATTCATCATTTCACATCTCACAAAGTTATTTTAGTAATTGTAGGGTGTGGACTGAAGGCAGGCCAGTTCAGCAGGTGGAGAACTGTTGTTGAAATAGATGTAATAGTATGTCTTGCTGAAACATGTAATGAATTCCTTAAGCACTGATAACCATAAACCATAAATAGATAGACATTGTGTTCTCATAGAGAGAAGAGAGAGAAAGACTATAATTTTTAAAAAGAGTTTTGTTAGGGAGTTTTTATTGTTTTATTTGATTATGCTTCAAATGTTATGTTATACTTATGTTCACATATTTCACCAGACTCAGTTTTCTGTAGAAACAGGAAGCTGACCCTGTGACTCTGTGTTCATTTACCACAAGAGATCAGTACAGAAATACACATCCGCAGAAGTTGACTTGCATTATATTATTCTTAGAAATTGACTTGCAACACACACACTTTGTGACACACACACACAAACACAGCTTACACACAGACAGCATCAGGACCTGCGTAACAGGAAATGTGATTATATTTGCATATTGACGATGTAACCTATAAAAATAAACGAATACTGCAGTTCGTGGTGTCTCTCTGTCTGAGATTCACCCGTGCCGCACGTTATCAGTATCAAGTGTCTCAGTTTTCTTTATTCACCTGACCGTTTGTTAACTGTAAATCTCTGACAAGTTTCAACTTTCAATTTTTCTGACTAGTTTTTCACTCTGCCTTAGTTACTTTAACCTCCTAGGATCTGGCGTCCACATATGTGGAGATCATATTTTGGCTGGTCTAGACCAAAATACTACATTTTACTCTACAAGGGCCTGATATCCACTTACGAGGACATTATGCTGTCACTATTGAATCGATATTTAAAACACATTTCCTCATATGTGGATCTCATTTTTGTCAAAAACAAAAATCAGGAAAAAAAATACAAATCAGCTAATTCTTTGTTTTTACATTTATCTAGTCCCAGTCAGCCCAAACAGCAAAGAGAAATTAAAAATGGATGCTATGAAAGGGTTCGGGTCTTAGGAGGTTAAATGATTTTGGCCACCTGAGGGTCCAAACATCAAGCACAATATTGATTTGTGGCCCTCTCTCTTGTAGAGATTTCTCTAGACTGTGTGGATCTTTTTATGATATTATTCACAGTAAATACTGCAAATTGTAAACATTGTACTGTAAACCATCACCCCTAACTGGTCACAGTAGATGGATATTCTGTTAAATAGGACATTTTTCCTTCAGGAGGGGTCCTTGGCTTGTTCTCTGTATTATTTTAGCATCTTTACCTTAAAAGTGCCTTCAGATGATAGTTGGTATATGAAAAAATTAATCGAATTGAATTCAAATAATGACTAAATTATTTTTCTATAGAAACAATGATGTAAGTCTAGGAACCTTTTATGTTTTTTTGTTGAGGAACATTTTTCCATAATTTGTAGACTTGGTGTTTTGTATGTTGTTGAACTGCTGTCCATCTTCTTCAAGATGCTCTTTTTATACCCAATTATGTCACTGACTTGTTAGTTAGCTGAATGTTCAGCTAGGTGTTTTTGTTTTGTTTTGTTTTGTTTTGTTTTTTTGGGGGGGGTAGCCCTACTTCATTTTCCTTGTTTTTACCTGTTCCAACTTTTTGTAGTTAGAAAATAAACAAAAATGTTGTTTTTGTGGAATTTTATAAACATTTTATTTAGATTTTTTAAAATCAATACAAGAGTTTCTTTGATACGAGATTTATATAGCCATAGACTATATATAAAGGTTGGACATCGAAAGAGTAAAGCCAGTACGGAAGTGAATGAATATGGAAGCCTCCATTCTTCGTGAATGACAGCAGTTGTACAGAAGTCTATGATAAAAAACAACCGTTGGGTCCCCTGCTGTCTAATTTCTACCTCTCACGAGTTTAAAGTGTTACTGAATACAAAATAAAGTTAATTTTGTAAATTATGGTATGAAAGTAGGGGTGGGTTTTGATGATCGATTTATCGATTAAAATCGATTCTAGCTTGGATAACGTGATATCAATTCATTAAAATCCTGAATCGACTTTTTAATATAAATTTAAACACCAGAATCTCAGGTTAAACCTCACAAAAAGCTGCAGGTTTCATCACTCACCAAACAATATTGACCAAACCAGCAGCAAAAGAAGATCCAAACTAGGCTTCACTTAAACATCGTCGTGAATTCCCTCTGACTTTTGCCGTTTTGCTTCCACCATGATAAAATCACACTTCATGCACAGCTCTCTCTCGCTCTCAGTATACTTCAAGAAGAGTTTCTGTTTTCTGATTATTCGCTTGCTTGTTACGCAAAAGTCTACCGTTGTTTACAGCGCTGTGGGACGCTGTTTTTTTTCCTTTTACTTACTTCCAAAAAGAAAGCCTCATTTCTGCTGTTCAATACTGAACAAATTTAAACTTTAAATTATGCAAAATTGCAAAATACTTAGCTCTGTCTCTAATAAAACCTCTGTAACTTTGCTCTGCTTCAGGTCAGCAGCATCAGGTAATGTTTATATGTTGATTAATGATTTTCTTTCGTTTTTGATCTACTGCAGAATATTTTTATAAAATCCCAGGTCAGGAAAATCACCTTCACGTTTTTCTTTGTTTCATCCTCAGCTACTTAACAAGTAACATCACAGCATCTGCTGTGATGCTTACACCTTTGATAAAGTCTCGCAAGTGTCAGTTCTCTTTTTATAGATATAAAAATATGGAAATGTACTGATGCATGATCTGAATTATAATTTTTCTGACTGTCTGAGGCAAAATTTCCCCAATTTGAATCGAATCGTGAATCGAATTGAATCAAATCGTGGATCGATTTGGGACCTTGTGAATCAGAATCAAATAGATTCTAGAAATCAGTGACGATACCCAGCCCTATATGAAAGTCACAGAGAAAGATAAAGCAGTATGCTTTACACTGCTTTATCTTTTCTACACTTGGCCTAGTGCCTGTCGAACAAAGCCAAGAGGTTTGCTTGGGTTTTTTTTTTTTTGTCTTACCGAAAAACGTAATCATGGCCATCGATTTCCACCCCCTTCTTTGAGCCGTTCAGGATTCCTCCAGTACCTACCACAGCACAGCGCACGCAGCCATCACCACCTGGTTTTGGGAGAAGCAGTGGCTCTTTTGGCTTTGGAATCAGCTTTACTGAATCCATCACATCTGCAAACCAAAAGTTGCTGTATGAGTAGAAGAGGTTTGTTAGTTTGCTTTTTTTTTTTTTGACTGTCCCGTTTGGATCTTTAGCCATCAGAATTGTTGTCTGAAGGCCAAGAAAGATCCCAAGTGGATTTACTTTACCAAGTGGATCATCATGGCCTTGCCATATTGGTCCATTTGATTGACCTTTATTATAATTATGTATTTATTTTATTTTCGTTTTTTAAAGACGGGACAGACATGACTGGAGGATAGGACAGGGAGAAAGAATGAAGGAAAGAGAGGGAGAGAAAGAAAAATAGAGAGGAGAAGAGATGGTGAGAAAGGGGGGAAGAAAAAAAAAAGACAAAACACCTGGATCAACTGTATGGAGATAAAAAACCAGAAGAGAAAACAAACAAACAACAAAGAGCAACATAATAAAAACAACACCATCACAATAAACTAGCTAACAATAGATAACAGTAGATACTTTTTTAATTTCACCTGTTAAGAATGAAAAAAAGAAAACAAGTAGAAGAAAACGAGAGCAACATAATAAACAACATCACGATGATCTATGGGAATATAACTGTAAATACTAAATATTAAACATTATTGTGCAGCACATAAGATCAACAGAACACAGTGTGCTTTGAGGTAGGAGCCAAAAAGGGTGTAGTTTGTGTGTGTGAGCACCCGTGTGTACACCTGCTCACAGGTGGAAGAGCCACCCAACACCTTGGCACTGATGCAGCAGGGCAGGACTATAGCACAACTGCCATAGAAAGAGCAATACAAAATCCAAAGCAAACAAATTCATTCAGAAGCAGACACACCCATACACAAAATGTCATCAGACGTTTGTGCCTTTATCACACAACAAAGGGATAAACATGCACAAGAACATTTTAATTCCCTGGTCACGCCAGCCTGCATTCCAAGCACCCTGGCAAACTACTAACACAAAGTTGTTTTCCATGAATGTGTGAATGTTAGATAGAAAAGACTTAAGCATAAAAAATGCTTCCATGAATGGATGAATAAAGAAAATTGTTTAAAGCGCTTTGAGTACTACTCAGGTTGTGTATTATGTAACACCGGTCTGTTTACCTTTTGGCAAGGGCGATCGTGACTCAAGAGTTGGGAGTTCACCTTGTAATCAGAAGGTTGCCGTTTCGAGCCCCGGCTTGGACAGTCGCGGTCGTTGTGTCCTTGGGCAAGACTACTGGTGGTGATCAGACAACACGTTCTCACTCCCAACTCGTCAAACGTGTGACGCATGGTCAGGCTCCCTCTGCTTCACTTATGGACGTGCAGGGTACCCCTCTCGCCTCGGGAATTGACGTGAAGGGTCCTCCGATTGAAGAGATTGCCCCGGAAGTGCCTGTTGTCGGTATATTTAGACATTTTCCAAATCACATTGTAGTGACGTATACAGAACACAATAAATTATATAATGTAAACAACTACCTGAAAAACAGGTAGAACGATACTTTTGTATCGTTTATTGCATTTACGGAGGGAGTGGTGTATGCTGGGTAATGGCACAGCTAGCTACTGGGTGACTTTATTCACCCGCTTCGGCTGTTATCAGTCCATACAATGGGCGTTATTAGCACAAATCAGTCCCATAGATATGGGCCATCTCCTGCTAGATTGCTCAGAAGGTTGTTCTCATCCATCCAGATGGAGGATCACTAACAGGAGCGTGGAAGACTCCAGAATCCACTCTGGCTGGAATCCGGTGGATATGCAGTGTGTACAGGTAAGACCATTTAAACGGACAGCATTTATAGAATGACTATTAAAAGTCAGCGAGTGTCAGTAATGTTAATGTGGTTATGTTAGTACTACACAGAGTGCTAATATAACAGCTTTAAGATGCATTTGTAGATATTATTACGTGTTTTACCGTCTTTATGGTGCTAGCTTAAAGTTACGGTGTAAACGTTAGCTTATATTGGAGTAAAGCTGTTACTGTTTAAACGATGTTAGCACAGAAATATTAGCTTCTGTCATGACTGATGAAGTTACTAGTTAATAAAGTTTTCAGTAAAGTGTTTAATCGCAGCCACAGATTGACAGCAAATATCTCGATTAGCTTCAGTGCATCTATAATAAATATGTGCAAGTTTCAAGGGTTCAAGGGGGTTCAAGGTTCAAGGTTCTTTATTTGTCACATGCATAGTTATACAAGTATAACACACAGTGAAATGTAGCCTGACACGCTCCTCGACATGTGCAAAAATTGGGGGGGTGTGTAGAGGAAGAACATTATATATATATATACACATATAGTATATACACTGGGTGAATGTGCAGTAGTAGCAGCAAGCAGGTGAATTCTGTACATTAATATGAATAGACATCTGACTATTTTACAGGATAGACAATATAAACATATTTAAAATTAAAGGAATTGAAATGTACATTGTGCCTTGGTTTAGAGTGTCTGGAAGAGAGTCCTGTCTCAGTCAATTATAGATGATGTGAGAGGGCGGGTGTGTGTGTTTAGGGCACGGATGGCTTGGGTCAGAGAGACTCAAGCTCCTCTTGAGTCTCTCTGTCCTTGCCCGGAAGATGCGGAACCTTCTACCGGATTGCAGAAGTTGGAACAGTTTGTTGCCAGGATGGGACGGGTCAACTAGTGTGTTTCCATAGATTACCTCTGTATGAATGTACTTCTTAAATGAAGGCAAGTGTTTGTCCTTTTTTGTTCCTCAGGTACAGTACGTGATATCAAGGGCAGGCGGTCAACACTGGGGGTAGACAAGAAGCAGACGTACTTCCAAGAGGGAGCTGCAGTGAGGTCAGAGGTCAGAATCTGAAACAGCTCAGGTTTATATTTTAGAGGTTATAAAAAATCAAAATGTATTTATAAAGAAACCTTTAAATAATAGTCATAATTATGATTATTATAAGAAATATCAAACATTTAAGTGGATTTTCTGTTACACATATTGTTTTCGCCCTGCAATAAACTGGCAGCCTGTCTTTGTCCTGTATCAGCTGGGATAGGCTTCATCCTCCCGCAACCCTGAATTGGATACATTGTATTCCAATTATGTAATCTGATCATTTACAAACTCAAGGTATCTAATCAAAATGTAAGTAATAATTATAAAATGGGAAAGCAGAAATAAGTGTGACATGAATGTAAATGTGTGAGCTGACATAGAGGACAGCTACATGCAGTCTGAAAAACCTTTGTTGTCAAGTTTGCAAGTATGTCAGCACGAGACATTCTTACATAGAAGAGACATTAAAGTCTCTAACTCAGTGAAGCATTATTGGTCCCATCTGTTTGGATAAATATAGTAAGTTGATGTATGTCCATTTATTGACACATTTTCTTAAGTGCTTATCCAGTTCAGGATCACAGTGGAGCTGCAGCTGGATATGTTCATTAAATAAACCTTACAAAAGTTAACAATAAACCTGCATCCCTGTATGTTGTTGTCCACAGGATGAGAAAATCAAACTGGAAGACTGTGGATCATGTTAATAAATGTTTGTGTGTTTATGCCTGTGTCTTTCACAGGAGGCGCTGGAAGGTTTCCCTAATAATTCCTGGTGAATCAAAGCAGAACCATAAAGATTGCTGGACTACATGATGGCCTTACCCCTGAGCAGTCATCCTGTTAAAGGAGGAACCAGTTAGAAGCTGTTTTCAAAGTAGCTGAGCAGATTTCATCTCAAGTAAGCAATTAACTGTTTGTTTATCTGTTCTGCCACTTAAAGAGCATTTAAGGACGTCTTTCGAGTGTCTAGTTGAATTAATTCTACTGGCTCTCATGGTCATTTGTTATTATAGACATATTTTTCATGTTCATCCAGCTATTTAGTAAATTCTATCTATTTAGTAATATCCGTCAGCTATAAAATGTAATATAAATATAAAAATATCTAAATATCTCCTGTCCTTTATGTTTTAATGATGTAAGTCTGTTATCATGTTACATTAGCATTCCTCACATATCAATGAGATGCTGTACAATACAATCCTACTGACACAGCAGAGGGATAACGACGGCTATTCAACATCGTTACACGACACATTCGAGCTGCATGATGCAGACAAAGTGACTAAATCATCTTTTTTGTGGTTTATTGTCTTCAAACCACCAGACAAAGCTGATGGCAGAAGATGTCAGAGAAGAACTTCAGGCCGTGGACTGAAAAGGTATTTTTTTCGTGTTATCAAAAGACATTTGGAGTGGCAGCTTCTGCAACTGGTTGTGCTGAAGTAAAGCTTACAGTCTAAGAAACCACAGTGTTGATATTCAGCACAAAGAGAAAAGCTCACTTGTTTGAATTTATTTACAATCATAGTTTTATAAATTCTGACTGTAAACAGCTTTTACAGCTTTGATATTGTTTGACACTCGATATCAGGTGATAGGGTTTAATTTAAAGGTTTCTGTTTCCAGAGGTGTGGACTTGAGTCACATGACTTGGACTCGAGTCATTAATTTTATGACTTTAGACTTGACTTGAAAAAATGTTCTAAGACTTGTGACTTGACTTGGACGGTTAGAATTGCTGATTTGCATCGTTTTCTTCCTTTGCTGGATGGTTTTCGGCGGCCAGCTTTTGGATATGGCTGGATGTCCTCTGGAGTTGGTAGTCCGCTGTCAGTAATTGCAGTGCGGTAATTTATGTCAAAATCCTTTGCTGTACTTGTGATTTATCAGCCATATCTAACACAGGCATACATAAGACCGTCGCCATGTATAAAACCGATCACACACTGTCTGAAGACCCTGGTTTTTTAAAACACACACCAAAAAAGAACACCCCTGGCAGACCGCTGCGACATAGTACACTAAAAAAAATAAAGAATAAAAGAAACAAATTAAAGGGGGTCCTGTAGAGTGGTTGGATTTTTGAATTCAGGTTTTTTCTTATTGCAGAAATTGTTTTTCTGCTAAAAAATATTTGCTGTTTGGTGTTTTTCTACTGTAATGGGTTTTTTTTCACTTATTGCTGCTAAATTGTTTTGTTTTATTTTCTTTTATTACTGTTAAATATATGTTTTTCTTTTTTATTACTGTTAAATATTTAGCTGCAGCTGCAGCTTCGAGGCTGCAGCTAAGGACTCCAACGATGCTAGTGCTAGCGGCGCTAACGGCTGCAGACAGGAAGATACTGCCAGCACCGGAAACGTGCTCGTCATCTCCGAGCATGAAGTAAGGAGAGCCTTCAAGAGAGTGAACACCAGGAAAGCAGCAGGACCAGACGGCATCCCAGGTCGTATCCTCAGAGACTGCGCATACCAGCTAGCTCCTGTGTTCACTGAGATATTCAACATCTCTTTATCTCAGTCGGTCCCCACATGCTTTAAAGAGTCCATCATTGTTCCTGTCCCGAAGAAACCCCACCCTGCTTCTCTCAATGACTATCGCCCTGTAGCCCTCACCTCAGTAATGATGAAGTGCTTTGAACGCCTGGTCAGAGACTTCATCATTTCTTCACTACCAGACACACTGGACCCACTACAGTTCGCTTACCGTCCAAATCGTTCCACAGACGATGCCATCTCTCATCTCCTCCACACATCACTTACTCACTTGGACACTAGAAGGGGGAATTATGTTAAAATGCTCTTCATAGACTACAGCTCTGCATTTAATATCATAATTCCCTCCACACTCACCACCAATGGGGTGGCTGTAGCTCAGGTGGCAGAGAAGGTCAGCCACTAATCAGAAGGTCGGTGGTTCGATCCCAGGCTGCACCCTGGCTGCATGCCAAATATCCTTGGGCAAGATACTAACCCCGTGTTTGCCTACTGGTGGTGGTCAGAGGGCCCGGTGGCGCCTGTGTCCGGCAGCCTCGCCTCTGTCAGTGCGCCCCAGGGCAGCTGTGGCTACAATGTAGCTTGCTATCGCCAGTGTGTGAATGTGTGTGTGAATGGGTGAATGACTGAATGTAGTGTAAAGTGCTTTGGGGTCCTATGGACTAGAAAAGCGCTATACAAATGCAGGCCATTTACCATTTACCAAGCTGGAGCATCTGGGACTCAGCTCATCTATGTGTCAGTGGATCTCCAACTTCCTAACTGGCAAACCACAGGCAGTAAGGATGGGCGGACATGTCTTAGCCTCCACCACTCTCAGCACTGGAGCCCCCCAGGGGTGTGTTCTGAGCCCCCTGCTGTACTCTCTGTACACATATGACTGTGTGGCCACTACCAGCTC